AACAAAACGGCAAGGCTGAGGTCAAAACACAAAAGGGTACTTGGATGACAGACCGCAACAAAGAACAAAGGGTGGAGGGAAAAGGGGAGGTGGGCGGGCAGACAAACAGCACTAGGCAAAAGAATAAGACGGCGGCAACAAGGCAACCAGACAGGCAAAATAACAAACAGTTAAAAAACAAAGCGAAAAAAACAAAAGATGAATGATTGTTTCGTCAGAATTGCACCGACTCATCAAGAGGCAGAACCCTCGACAATCTGCGGAGTACCGGTCTTGGATGTTTTGGGTCATGAACCCTTTGACCCTTGTTGAAGGCAGATTGCCCACAAGCGGAACATAGCAGCGAGCGGCACCCGTGTGAAGCACCAGGCAACACACCCGAAGCCACTCAACCGCACAGCACCAAAGACGACTGCAAGGAACAACACGTCAAGCGGCGGACGGCAGCAAGAAACAACTTTGCGAAGCACCAGGCAACACACCAGAAGTCATTCAACTGGAGAACAACACAAGCGGCTGCAAGGAACAACACCGCAAGTTGAGGCACAACACAGCGCCCGTGTGATGAAGCACAAGGCAACAACCACAAGACCACCACACTACACGACACACAAGCAAGGAACCCAAAAGGCACGACACACGAGTGGACAACTTGGAAGCAGCGCGGCGAAGCACAAGGCAACACGRCTACCACAACCAGACTGCACAGCGAACGTAACAGCACACAACGAACAACACGTGACCCAAGCGGGATAGGCAGCAAGGCAACGGTGACGCGCAAACAGCACAAGGCAGCCCACACATCCAACACGGAGCAAAGCAGCACATGACCTACTCACATCACGGGTGAACACCGCAGACTGTTGGTTCCCACCACCCGCTGAGCCAGGGGGACACTCCGGCGACCATCCGTCATCACCGACAGGCAACACATACATCCCGAACCGAGCGGCCCCCCTAAGAGTGCAGTTGGCACTCCAAACGAGGAACCACCGACTGTTTGGCACTCCTTAAGGATGCTCAGCCGGGCACTCAAAAAAAATACTTGGACAACAGCCAGAGGGAGAACAAACAACAGAAAAAAAGCCAACAAACATAAAAACTGATTGTGTGTGTGTGTGTGTGTGTGTGTGTGTGTGTGTGTGTGTGAGAGAGATAGAGAGAGAGAGAGAGAGAAAGAGAGAGAGAGAAAGAGAGAGAGAGAGAGAGAGAGAGAGAGAGAGAGAGAGAGAGAGAGAGAGAGCTACCAGCCGGGTCGGCCGGGTCCCAGGTGGCCAGCCCGTGCAAGGACCAGAGAAGGTGCCAGCAAAAAAAAACAAAAAAATGAGCTCCAAAAAATCTGAAGAAAACCTACGTTATGCAAAAAAATAAACTGAACAACTTTTGCCTCAAGGTCATATCGAAATTCTTTACAAAAATTAAAATAAAAAATAAAATACGCAAAACTAGTCTTTAAATTTTACAAGGAATATGAGCGTGAGAGTGAACCATATACATATATCCAAGTTGCGAAATCACACAGATGTCCAAGTAGTAGTCTACAAGGAGAGAGCACATAAGCACCTAGAATCCATCCAAATAGAGCAATATAATGAAGTAATGAGCCAATGTTCAAGCCCTCAGGCCACACCAACACAGTATCCAATGTCGCTCCTCTCTGTCTGGCGCCCAGTGGCCAGCCAACGCTACTTGACTAGAGATGAAAACTCAAAAACAATGTAGTCGAGGCTTTACTATCACAGAGTAACCACATTGTATGTGCACTGGGGGAATCCTCGTGCAGCAGACCTTCTACGTCACAACTGCTCGGTCTGCTTTGGAGTTCGCACTCCATACTCCTTAAATACTCAAAAAAACGCACTGGCCTTCCTGAGTTTCAGCATCGTGAGACACGTTTCTCGTGGGAACAAAAAATATATATATATATATAATGAAAAAAAACACGAAAAAAAAAAAATCCAGGTAGAACGTAAAAAGTAACCGAAAAAACTGGAGGAGTACCAGCATACGTTTTCTCTTTCCCGCATGAGGTTCATGCACGAGTCTCGCGTGCCTTTTCTTGCCCAGTTTCGTCGTATGCCTGTTCTCCATTTGTTGTGTTGTCCGACTTATTAGCATTGGCGCCGTTTCATCATTTGTCTTCATATCGCTTCTGGATCTCGTTGATATCTCTGGTCTGTCCCTCTGGCCGACCTACCGCCGCAGTCCAATGCAGAGGGGGCAGGACAGGCCTGATCTCCGATTTTGAGCCCCCGAATCCCATATACCCTACCCAGTGCCATGGGTCCTAGTAAAACCCGCTTAGCAGGTTTTCACCTTGTCGATAAGTTGTCTACCGACGTTTGTACCAACCTTCAATCCTCGGTGCCATTTCTGCCCAAAAGCCACCCACTCGCCCTGCATAATGTTGAGTGCTTTAAGGAACATCTCAGTAGAAAAATTCATTCCCTTCAATTCCCTGTATAGAGTAATCAGTGCAATGGGTACCAAGGCATCGGAGTTTGTGTTCGCTCGAATCCGGTGGAGCGTTCCGACTATGGTTGCGATTTTTTGTTCACTAGATGAAAATGATTCGTAGCATTTGTGGATCATGTACTTTGGTTTCGTGGGGTCGTTCCAGATACTTTCAACGTTCCTGAACTTACGCATACTCACAATTTCGGTTGGATTCTCAAGTACAAATATTATTGTTTCCAAGAAATCTAGGATGTTTACACCGGTGTCTGTCCTTTTGAGACTGAGTTTCTTGTGGTAGCAGTCAGATATTCTGTTAAGAATGTGGCTCGTTTGTTTTTTCTGTGCCGAGTTTCCTTTTTTGTGAAACCCAATAAAACACAGGTCATCCACATACCTTTTTCCTGTTATATACCTGGCATTGCTACCAAGTGATTTCAAAAATCTGTTTTCCTCATACATACACACAAGATAGGCCAGAGGGGGACTAGCTTGCCCTCCCATTGGGATTCCCTCGTTCTGTCTTAAGATTTGTCCAGCAACTTTAAAAACAACATTTCTCAATAGGAAATCAACAAGTTTTTCAAGTTGGTTCAATCTGACAGATTTCCAGCCTGACTCCCCTGCCGATTTACATAAGGTGGCACCCTTCCCCCTGGTTTTCAATCTAACCCAGTGATGTCATATGTTCTTGTCTCAGCTTCAAGGCAGTACCGGGATGCTTTCTCATTTACTCCCTGTAGGAATTTCTTTTGATCCTGGCCAACCATTAGGTTAAAGTGCCTCTGTTTGCTTTTTCGGATCATCAGGTTCAGGGCTTGGACAAGAGTTTTCCCTGCAAATCTCATCGGACTAGCGAATGACGGACATATGGGTCGTTTTTTATCCAGATCCTTCTCCTTACTCATAGTAAAGGCGTTTTGCAGTCTTCCGTTTTTGTCCCACCTCCCAATTTGTTCCGATTTTAATCTCTTAAATTCGTTCTTCATTCCCTGTAGCACCTCTTCCTCAGATTTCTGCAAAATCTCGAAGTCCGGATTCTTGTTGAAGGTACGTGTTAGTCCATCATGTTACAAGGTGGGCATTCGATCAGAGTCGCCCCAGGGTTACGGTCCAGAGGGGACAAGACCAACCCCGCAAATGCTTGTTTAACACCATACACATATTTAGTTGTAATTCTTCCGTCAATTTTCGCTGGTCCTATCCTTGTGATCTTCGCAGGTTTTGCCCTGAATTCTTCATTGATACCAATTCTCTTGAGGTTTCTCAGTCCGCTCGTGCAAGCTTCGTCGATCAAGTCCAAGCTCGCAATTTGTCCAGGATAAAGAATGTTCCGAGAGTTATAGAGAAAAAAACTTATCTCAGGAAGGTCGCTCATTCCGACCCGTACGTGCCCCTCATTTTTTGGCAGTTTAAACAAGTCACACTGACATTCCGGGTATGACCCGGAGGCAATGGATTTGTGATTATGCAAGATGTCTGCGACAGATTTGGACTTAGTCCAAACTACTCGTAGCTTTCTTTGCATTAGGTCGGCGAGTTCCTTGGGATAAACTTTCTCCTTTATCCACTCTTGTACTTCTCTCTCAATACAACGTTTGTCAACAGATTCACAAAAAGGTATCTTAATTACAGATCTCTCTCTTGGGTTCATCCCCAAGTGTTTCTTCAACTCGTTGGCAATCAAGCTCCTGATGATCTGCCTACCGCGTTTTGTGTTAATACACTTCAATCCTTTCAACGAGTTCAGCAAATCGACGGCATTCTTTCCATCGAGTAAGCTTCTTCGCTTCCAGGGGGCCCTCAGTAATGCGATAAGTTCATTCTTTCTTCGATCTGCCTCAGATTCAGTTTTTACCAGACAGGTGAGTTCAAATTCTCCGCCTTCCTCAAATAGTATCTTCATATCTTTTAGTAAACACGACCCATCTTCACAACGAAATTTGGATTCACCATAGATTAGTCTAATGAGTCTCCAGGAGGTAGACCATTTGGTCCCACCTGAGCATCTGATAACAACTGGTCTGTGGGTGCCCTTGGCACTTTTCAAAATGTTGAGCAAGTTCAGTCTCATAGCCATTCGAAAAATCAGAGGAGAACGAGATCGTCTTCCATATCTGGGTTACACATGGTTTGTGCAGCTTTCTTCTCACGGGTTTGTTCTTACTCTTATAATTCCTCATGTTTAGGCTAGGATTCTCGCTATTAATAATCTGGGATTCAACTTTTCCTAGATCCATAGCCGATCCTTTCCACGGTGGGATAATCCAATATGTGTGTGCCCCTTTTTTCTTCAACCATTTATGGACTTTGTACTTCGGTCCCTGTTCCGTTGCACGGATGTGCTCCATCCATCTGTCCATAAGTTTCCTCCTAGTCTGTCCTACGTAAGTCTGTTTCCAGAAAGGAGATATCAGGACATAGACACATGTATCCGCCCCCCCAAAGTCTACATGTTCGAGAGCAAGGTTAACCCAATACTTAATATACGCCCGCCCCCAGTTATAATATCCTAGGAGTGCGGCAAGCATTGATCCCAGTCGAAAAACGTTCCGCAAATCACGTTTCAGTTCTCCATCCGCTGTCTCAATCGCGTTGCTTAATGTTCTGAGGGAACGAAGCAAGCTTCTCTTGGAGAGTCCTAGTTCCCCTGGACGTCTCCCTGGCAGTCGTCATTATCTGACCCATTGGCATCTTCTTCATCCTCTTCACACGTTGATTCTGCCCCATCTTCTTCTTCGGTGCCGCCGTTCATCAACTTAGTAAATTCTTCAGTGTCTTGTTTCGCCAATTCCCATGCACTTTTGTCCTTCCGCTCCCACTTCACATCCCTCTCCAGGCATATCATCTTGATCTTCTTGCCTGTCATCTTCATATAATGGTCCAACATGTGTCTCATGTATTCCACTATTCCCACTTGGGCCCTTCCTCCCAGTCCTCCTCGATTCACCATTAGTTTCTCTTCCTCCTCCTCGTCCGTTCCCTCGCTGTTGTCTTTCGTGGATGCATTCGCCACCCCGCAGCTGGTCTTCACACCCGATCTACTCTCCATCTTCACCCCCGTGTCGTTATCATTCTGTCCTTGGTTCACTTTGCCCGCAATGATCGCGAGCATCTTCATCACATCCTCCAAGTTCACGGTACTTGGAGGGAGTTTGTTCTCCAGAGGAGGCTCTTCAATAGCGGCATTCTTCGCTCGCCCCTTCTCGGCTTCCTTATCGGATGATACTTCAATCCTCGGTTGCCTCATCTTGATGCCACCACTTCTTGAGCGCGGTTGGGATTTCTGCCGCTCTGCGGCAGGTGAGTTAACACCGAGGACGTGCTTCCGTTTCTCGTTGCTGCTGGCTTCTCCTTTCTTCGGGACACCTTTGAGATCTTCTATCTTCTTAGCGAGCACATCGTTTTGTCTGTCGACTTCCTTCGTTCTTTTGTCGACAGCGTCCAGCTTCTCCGAGATTCGTTTCAGCGAAACGCCGAAATTCTCGGCGAGCTAGTTCTTCAAGTTCTTCTCCCCGTCTTCTGAGCTGGCGCTGGTCATCGCCTTCCCTTTCTTCGTGCCTGCACTCCTACTGCTTTCTCCTGACTCGCCCTTTTTCTTCTCCTCGCTGGTGTCCCTGCTTTTCCACTTCTCGATCAATTCCAGATGCTCACGAGTGAACCATGCGCGGTTCCCTGGACCCGGGAACGCGTTGGCAGCTGGTTTCGCCGTCTGAGTATATCCGTAGCTCCATTGTGGTTACGGGGGTGGTGGAGGTGGGGGTTGCTGCATCCAAGCATATGGATACGCGGGTGGGGGGAGGTACCCAACACTCTGGTTAGGCACGCTTGTAGGAGTTGGGTTTTGTATCGGGGCGACGGCGAGATTAGCCGGTGGTGTCACCTGGTATTCCATCCAATATCTCCTATCCCCTGACCACCTACCCCTTCCTCTCCCTCTACCCCGTCCACGTCCCTGCCTACAGCTCCGAGGTCACAGGTCTTCCGAGGTCTTCTCTTGATCTTAGATGCCTGGTAGTCTTCACGCGGCGAGCCTCGATCCACCCTCTTCGCGGTCGGAGAAGATCGCACTCTTGGTAGTCTACCAGTTTAGTCGGCGTCGTTTCTACCTAGCAGTAGATCATTCGAAAAAGAATGATGATATATCAATACAGATATATGAATATGAATATGAATATATGAATATATGAAGACCCCCCGTGGGGGAACCGTGCTCATATCGTACTCTATGAGGCAATCACTACCAACATGAGCCAATAGATATGGCGCCAGGTGAGCGATCCTCAGCGCAACTGCAGAGTCGTTCGCCTGGTTCAAACAAGAGATGAAAACTCAAAAACAATGTAGTCGAGGCTTTACTATCACAGAGTAACCACATTGTATGTGCACTGGGGGAATCCCCATGCAACAGACCTTCTACCTCACAACTGCTCAGTCTGCTTCGGAGTTCGCACTCCATACTCCTTAAATACTCCAAAAAACGCACTGGCCTTCCTGAGTTCCAGCATCGTGAGACACGTTTCTCAAGGTTACCAAAGAAAATTAAAAATATAATGAAAAAAAACACGGAAAACAATTACAGGTAGAAAGTAAAAAGTAACCGAAAAAACTAGAGGAATACCAGGATATGTTTTCTCTTTCCCGCCTGAGGTTCATGCACGAGTCTCGCGTGCCTCTTCTTGCCCAGTTTCGTCGTATGCCTGTTCTCCATTTGCTGTGCTGTCCATCGGCGCCGTTTCATCATTTGTCTTCATATCGCTTCTGGATCTCGTTGATATCTCTGGTCTGTCCCTCTGGCCGGTCTACCGCCGCAGTCCAATGCAGAGGGGGCAGGGCAGGCCTGATCTCCGATTTTGAGCCCCGGAATCCCATATACCCTACCCGGTGCCACGGGTCCTAGTAAAACCCTCTTAGCAGGTTTTCACCCTGTCGGTAAGCTGTCTACCACCATTTGTACCAACCTTCAATACTCGATTCCTCGGTGCCATTTCTACTTGACTATCCTACCTACAGCAGTATTCATGCGACAGGCTGACTTCGACTCTCGAAGACCAAATGTACATGACGTCAACACCATAGCCGACCTCTCTTCATGTACCAGGTACGTATCAAGTCACCCTCATCAGACCTTGTCTACCCACTCTCTCGCCTCCTTCCTGAAGACCACCGATCGCCCACTCACCCCCTAGCGCCCAGCAGCCCCGCTATGGCTGCCTGCGCTCTGCTGCCCTGCAGCGTCCCACTTCACCTCGATGCAACCCGCAAGCGCTCTGGCCGCAATGCAGCACGCAGCAGCGTGACCGCATTGCCTGCGTGGGCCAGCCTGCCTGGCCAGGGCCTGTCTCTTATACACATCTAGATGTGTATAAGAGACAGTCGCAATGCAGCACGCAGCAGCGTGACCGCATTGCCTGCGTGGGCCAGCCTGCCTGGCCAGGGCTGCCCTTTTTTTTTTTTTTTTTTTTTTTTTTTTGAAACATTGCCCTTTCTTTTTTTTTTTTTTTAAAGCTATGTTCTTCTCTCAATTTCACCTCACGCTACCTACCTACCGCTACTCCTAATTGTAGGCATACGGGGAACCCCTTAGCAGCCAGAACCGTGTTCACGATAGAACATGCGGGGGCTGCTCCCGACTTGCAGGTGGGCGATACCGGCTGGGGACAGCCGGTAGCATCAGGGACCATGCCAACAGAACCAATCCCTGTGCCGCCCCTCAGGTCCCCTTTCCTACGAACATCAGCAGACTCTGCTCAATGCCGATCCGGGGATCCAGTGGTCTATCTCTACGTGGCGGGCGCCAAGCATGCCCAGGAACGTACATGGGGCCATGGGGATTGAACCCACAACCTCCTGAATGCCACTTGCCTGCCTTACCAACTGAGTTAGGCTGCTGGATGGAAGTGGCAGCCTCCTGGATGCTGCGTGTGGCCTGGCTGGGAAGCTTCCAGTTGCTTCCGGTTAGGCCCGGTGCCTGCGCCCAGGCCCAGCGGTGCAGTTGGAGGCCTGGGCCCCGTTACAGTTGGGCACCGCCAATGATCCCGACTCAGGCAGTTTTCTGCATTTGCCCCGGACCCGAAGTATGTACGTCGACAATGCTGCTTCTGCGTAGGCCGGTGGCCACTTCATGATGTATCCGCCCAGCGTTGTGTGTGTGTGCCCAGGCTCAACTACCGAGGGTCTGGGCCAAACGGTACCACGCAGCCTAGTGAGGCTCACTTGTCCATTCAACCAACTGGCGTGCTGCAACAACCTTTTTTTTTTTTACAGAACCTCGTGGTTCTGGGTCCTGCCATTCTGGGGAGCAACAGTCCGGTTCCTATTCCCCTGGCAAGTCAATACCTACGCACCCGCATATGGAAAATATGGAATTTTGGCCTTTGGTGAATATTCAGGCCCGCCTTCACTTAGGGCGGGCACTGGGCTTTGCTGAGGGCCTCTGCCGTGAACATGGGCATGTCTGATAAGGAAGATCATTTGCTTAGAGCTCAAATGCACCAAGATTCCATCCAAATAAGAGCAATACAATGAACTGGTGAGTCAATGTTCAAGGCCTCAGGCCACACCAACACACCATGTGTCACCTTTTTTTTTTTTTTTTTGGTTATATTGTGCAAAGAATATGAGCGAGAGCGATATACAGAAAACCAAATTGCAAAATCACGCAGAAGTCCAGATAGTCATGTAACCAGCAGAGAGCTCAAATGCACCAAGATTCCATCTGCGAGGCTCAAGGCCTCGATACGCCCTACTGGGCCCTATTTTCAGTACAATCGGGTACCCTAAGTGAAGGCAGGCTCGACCAAGGCCTACAGGCCCATTTTTGGGGTCACCAAGCAACTGGGGAAATTCAGGTAGTTGCGCAGCGCCAGTTGGTTAAGAGCCCCGAGGCCCAGGTTGCCCTTTTTGCATGTAACTGAGGCAGGCTCTGGGCCAGACGCAACATGGACCGAACACAGGCTGTGGGTAGTTGGACACGGGCAACCACCACAGGCCCTGGGCCTGATTCATTTCGACTGGGGCTCAGCCTCAATGGGCCTACCTGAAGCTTCTGGGTAGGGGCCCAGCGCAGCCAGGCTTCACGCAGCAGGCAGGCCAGTTCCATTTAGGAATGTGCCTGCCCACGCATTCAGCATTCGGGCACTGGCTGCATGCTGCGCAAGCGCTGCTGCGCTAAACGCTGGCCAGCGCTCACGCGCTCACGGGCGAGCTGGATGAGCAGGCAGCCATAGCCGAGCTGCGCTGCACTACGCTGGATGGGGCGCATGGTCCTTGGGTGCATGTGGCATCTGTGTGTTGGGGATCGAGGTTGTGAGTGATGCGAGAAACATACCTGGTGCTTGAGGCGAATGGCGTTGGCCGAGATCTGCTCGTACTTCGGGGAGCTGTTGACGTCACCGGCGGCATTGTAGATAGGCTAGATAGGATCTGCCATTCGTAGTCTGGGCGTCGAGCGCCAGACAGGATATCGACATTGGTTCATTGTTGATGATGATGGGACTATTCACATATTGTCATTTGTGCGCTTTTGCTGTGCTCTTATTTGGTGGAACTCGAGTTGCAATTCTGCTTTTGTCGAGGTCACGGCTATCTGGTTTCATGTGTATGATGCTGCTTGGTTTCTGGAATTCGCCTTGAGGCCTTGCATCATCATCATTGCACCAATAATACACCAATAATACACCAATAATACACCAATAATACACCAATAATACACCAATAATACACCAATGGAGAATGGTAACACTGAAACCAAATGTCCATGGGTGCTCACACTCGTCACCACCAACATTAGAGTCCAGGCCCATCCCCCTAATTGGCGCTCGGCGCCCAGACTACTCCCACACAGCTACTATCTGCCTACGAATTGACAATGCAACTGTTGACGTTAGCAGCCACCGAAGTACTTGAAGATGTTGCCCAATGCAGACTATCGCCAATACCAGGTATGTGCCCTCACATCATCATCATCATCATCATCATCATCATCATCTCTCTCTTTCCCTCGTCTTTCCACCTCGTCTTCCCTCTGTACACCCGAAGACCACCCCTTGCGCCTTCCTGTACTCCAAGCCCAGTGTTACATGCACAGATATGTGATGTTCGTAATAACCGAGGAACTGCAGTGTGATAAAAAGGACTGAAATGGACAATGCGGTGAGAGTAGAATCTCGACAGACAATGTGCATTCTCATACATACAAAAGTGCTGAATAGCGCAGGGAAGACTTAGATACAARGACTGACCTGACAAGGACTGACCTCACACACGTAGTACAAGTAGCGAAGCAGAATGCTAGAATACCAATCACAAGCCCAATCAATGTTTG